CCCATCGGAACGATAAAAGCGTTCTCGAAGAATGCCGGATCGATGACATGGAGTTCGTACGGGCTGATGCGGATAATGGGCCCTGTTAATGGCTTAATGTTAGTTGGAGCCCAGCGTATATTAGGATAAAAACGTTTAATACCATATATCTTGTGCAATTCTGCTATCTTCGAAGTGTATTGGCCACCTAGAACAACGTCATAGAAGGCCTCATACCAGCGTGAGATAGCTGCCAGCCTGGGGCCAGGAAAATGAGCCAGAGGATGAAGAAACAGACGGTAGAAGACAAGAGTCCCATAGTAAGTGACCAGAGCCCCAACTAACACACGCCAGCTGATGTTAAGGTCCATAACTATCAACTTGTATAAGCGGGAGGTTTTTATATACAGCTCGCAGTAAATATAAAAGAAAGGGAGCCTGATTCTCAACAGTAGCTAGAGGATGTACCTCAGCTATATAGCGATGGAGTTCCTTTTCCAACTTTTTTACCATGTATTTTGTTGTCAACACATAGTCATACTATTTCTCTGATCCCTGAATGACACTAGTTGTGCGATACTCGCCAGCCCGTCTTCACCGAAATGATAATAATATGATAATTCCGTCCCAAGCATCTTTACGTAGTTTATATGAGAAGGCACTTACGAAGGAGCTTTATATCTTATATGTAGTATACTTTGGATAATTAGAATGTACGCATGTAGCTAGCATAACAACACTACCTATTTTTTTACTTTCTATCTTTACTCCGTACCGAGATCAATAAAACCTATAAAATGGCCTTATTTGGAAGACCCCTTATACATCTAGAAGGCAAGTAACCTGTGCCGAATAATCCATCGATATAGCTCCTTTGTCTCTCTCCAGCGCCAGCGGGATGGTTGCCCTCACGTCTCCTTCCAACCCGCTTGGCGCGGCGCGGATATACGTTATTACACCCGCGTCACGTGTAACCACGAAAACCTTATTTATACCAACATCTTCCTGTTCCAGGCGAGCGTGAGACTTCCTTATGTAAATAAGTTATGACTAAGCTGGTGTGAGCTACTTAATGCATGTTGCAAGAGCCAATTAGTGACCAGAACTCCAGCCAATCACCGAATTTACAGTATCCCGGCCCTTCTCGCTCCGACAATTCTTCCGGTGAGCCGCTCGGACCCGTCTAGGTACCTCCATTTCGATGAAGCCCCAACTGGAGCGAACAACAAGAAGATTTTCCTCGGGCACACTGGTGTCTTCCTTTTCTGCGATTTACTGTCTGTCACGATGTTATCAGGGATTCTGATTTTCAATCAGAAGGGTGAGAACCTTATATTCCGCTCGTTTCGCAATGACTGCCGGCCTCGGCTTGCAGACATCTTCCGTATTCAGGTCATATCGAATGCGCAGGTTCGATCTCCGATATTGACACTTGGCTCGACAACATTCAGCCATGTCAAGCATGAGAATATATATTTGGTCGCAGTTACGAAAAGCAATGCGAATGCGGCGTTGGTGTTTGAATTCCTATACAAATTAATAATGCTGGGGAAGGGGTACTTTGGGAAATTCGACGAGGAGGCAGTCAAGAACAATTTTGTGTTGATCTATGAATTGCTGGATGGTAGGTGCTGATATTTACTTGCCCGTGAATGATCCTCATTCCTAATTTTCATCCTGCGTGTTTAGAGATCCTCGACTTTGGATATCCGCAAAACACCGAAACGGATACATTGAAAATGTATATAACCACTGAAGGCGTCAAGTCATCAATTGTTAACTCACCCACCGACTCGAGCCGCATCACCATGCAAGCGACAGGCGCATTATCGTGGCGACGCTCTGATATCAAATACCGGAAAAACGAAGCGTTTGTCGATGTGATTGAAGACGTTAACCTTTTGATGTCTGCCACCGGGACAGTATTACGAGCAGACGTGAACGGCCACATAGTCATGCGAACGTATCTCACCGGAACTCCAGAATGCAAATTTGGACTTAATGACAGGCTATTATTAGATAACGATGATGCCGGAGGTATGCCTGGGAAACCAAGAACGACCCGGGCTGCGGCGGGAAGCGTTACGCTTGAAGATTGCCAGTTCCATCAATGCGTCAAGCTAGGCCAGTTTGACGCTGATCGTATCATCTCCTTCGTCCCTCCCGATGGGGAGTTCGAGCTGATGAGATACCGAGCAACTGAGAACGTGAACTTACCTTTCAAAGTACATCCTATCGTCCGTGAGATAGGTACCACAAAGGTCGAGTATAGCATTGCTATAAAAGCCAACTATGGCCCTAAGCTGTTTGCTACGAATGTAGTCGTCCGCATACCTACGCCTCTTAATACAGCGAAAATCACCGAACGAACAACGCAGGGAAGGGCAAAGTATGAGCCCGAGCAGAACAATATAGTCTGGAAAATTGCAAGGTTTTCTGGCCAGAGTGAATTCGTCCTTACAGCGGAGGCCACTTTGACGTCCATGACACAGCAGAAGACCTGGAGTCGGCCGCCTCTCAGCCTTGCATTTAGCTTGCTAATGTTCACGAGTAGTGGGCTGTTGGTACGATATCTGAAAGTGTTTGAAAAGGGCAATTATAGCAGTGTGAAGTGGGTGCGATATATGACCCGCGCTGGAAGTTATGAAATAAGGTGAGACCTCTTTGCTCTATCTCTACAAGAGAACCCATACTAACCTCGCATCGTAGATTTTAATATAATGATTTATATTTCGATACCCGATTTTCCAATCTGCTGCGTAAAAATCCACCCTTGCATCGACTTTGCCCTTCATCTTAACGATATTCTCTTTTTTAACTTTGTTTTTCCAGCTGTACAATTATCGGTGTCTCGGCTTCTGCGGCTTTGTGTAATGGATCTGCATTTCAATTCTTCTTTCTGATCTGTAGATTGTCATGATTTCATGTAAAACTACTCTATACTCGTCGGAAAACATGATTATGATGTCTCCTTTGCATGCCAAAGGCGTATCTATTATCCATAATAGTGTAAGATAGCTTTCCTCTACTGTACTTCTTTGCAGGTTATTAACTTCGACTACACATCCCAGACACCAACAAAGGCGTTGTGGCAGAGTGGTCTAATGCGATTGACTAGAATTTCTCTGAAACAGATAATCAATTCCCTTCGGGGGCGACGGTTCGAATCCGTCCGACGTCGGCCTTTCTTTTTTTGTTTTTCTTTTTGCAGTGTTCACTCTCCACTTTTTTTTATTGTATATATTACAGACCAATCAATCATCATGTCAATACCGTTTACAAAGTTGTTTTCTTTTATTCGTAGCGCAAGTCGCTCTTTTTTTTCCATAATGAAGATAGTGATGATGATAGGGGGCATGAGAAAATCCTATTTACCCGCTGAAATGCTCCTCCACCCTCTCAATCAGATCAGCTTTCTTTCCGGAAGTTGGAAGAGATTGGGAAGCTAGAAAATCCTTCAGGACGACAACAGTGAGCTATATTAACATTTCCAGTTAGATTCATACCACTTTTACCATCAGTTGAGTAAGATATATCTGGGCTTACCTTGTTCAAAGTACCTTTTTCATAGTAAGACTTAATGTCCTCAGGTTCCTCAGTCTTAGCTCTCTTTGAGGCTGGCTCTTCCTTGATTCTCTTTGCGCTTGAAGCTGGCCTCTTAACTAGAGTCGAAGTTACGGGTTGGCTCTTCTCCAGGGTACGGTATTGGGACTCAAGTTCTTCGCCCCAGGCTATTACAAGTTCGCCAGCGCGCTAGACGTGGGTCAGCACCATCTCCTGCCTGCTGAAGATGGGCAGGTGCAAGTATATTGCTAACGTACCTTGTCGATTGCCCTGTATTTTGGTATAGTCTTATCTTCTGGCTGCTCTGGTACGTCCTCATCGAGTGCCAGAGCTTGAAGGATTCTGTAATGCCATTGAAGTGCTGGTAAATGTAGCAGTCAGCATGGGCCACCTACAAACAGAACAGACTAAACTTACATGGGTTTGGGTACTTATACGGGTCAAATTTGCCCTTGGGAAGTTGCAGTTGCTGGATAATAGGCCTCATTTTATCAACAAGAGAATCAGGGGAGGTAATATGGTTTGTTTCAGGGTTTTGTCTGATATCGTCCGCAAACGGAAGAGGTAGAATCCACATCCCAGGCGGGATAATTTGTGTATCGTTCTCATCGAGCTTTTCTGCTCCGGCAATCATGGCGGCCATCACAGGGGCTGCATTCCGTCTGGGGACGAACCATACTAAAGCCATCTTATTTTGCTTCAGTAGTGTCTGCTGCAGTGCTGAGAAGGCACGCGTTGAGCCTACGTACCCTTCCTCGGATGGGTAAATAAAGGTAGGATGTTTCATAGACGCCCAGATAGGGAGTGATGAAAGTGGCTTGAAGCCGATGATCCGGATAGTTGGTTCTCCAAAGTTCCTAAGCTCGGCTTGTTCTTCCTGGGTAAACGAGATCTGCTCGCCTCCAAACTTGTACGCTTTACGGATCTCCCATTTTTCTATTTCACGGGCGCTGTCGTCAGCAAGTTGAGTAGTTATGCCTTTGGCAATCTGGGGTTGTTCGCCGGCGAGCCAAATATAACAGCTTCGAGCAGGCTCTTGTCGTTTAAAGATCAAGTAACCTGTAACAGAGATCTTAAAATCCGGCCCAATCTCCAAGGGAACATTAGAAAATAGCGCTCTTCGAGGGATAGATTTAGAATTAATCGATGAAATAAGCGAGTTCAGCAGCGTTATGCCATCTCCTCCCGAGGTCGATGATTTGGCCGCAGCTTGTGAATATACGGGGGCTTCCGGATCACTTGAAGAAGCTTTATATATGATATCCTAATGAAAAGATATTAGAAGGGTTTGTAATAATACATGTCCGACAAGGCTTACATCGTAGAACTTTGATCGGTCAAATTCAGCCCCTGGTCTGGAGATTGGGAATAGCTCAATAGTAACTCCAAGATCATACAAATCTTTGGCTCTTACTGTGGCTGCCGATCTAAGGGCTTTTTCATTTGCATGAGGGCTATCGTTGTCAGTTACAATGAACAGCCGTCGGGAAGAAAAATTTGCCGCCTTTGAAGTAAATATCTGATTAGCGCAGAATAGCACATTTGCCATAGTGACGGGCTCTTCTGATGGGACTAATATCTCTGAAGAGTCATCCTCATCGTTGGCTAGAGCTCTTAGTTCCTTGACGTCCGATGCAGCTGGGACATCTAGATCGATGTAGAGATAGCAATGAGGGTAGGGAAGCGTGCCTCGGCCCTCTTCATCTTCATCATAGAACTTGGAGCTCTTGGTTCCGTATAGTAATACACCCATCATGTCATGGGGGCTAGATATAATCCTTTGTTGCATGAGATGGTATGCACTCTTCAACGCTGCTGTTATAGGTGCATCCTTATCTGCCTTCTTCGACTTAGATTCAGGTGGAGGAGCCAGCATGGACTCGCTCACTTCGATTGCAAAGAGAACTGCATCTTTGCTAGATTTATAGCCCTGGATGTACAAGTCATTAAGCTGCAATTCATTTAGTTGCATTCCAGTGATGTCATACTGTGTCGTCAACTTCATCTTCCTCCTCCTCCGCAATATCCTCATCGCGAGCCCAGTTAGAAGCCATCACAACTGCAGAGACTTAAGACAGCAAGTGGTGAAAAAAGGATGTAGATGTAACTAACTGTTGCCTGTTTGGCGTTGCTTGGGAAGTTTAGTAAGTCGACGGCCAGGTCACGGGACGTGTTAGCCGCTCGCGTCGAGACGCGCTAAGACACCAAGTCACGTGTGCAGAATGACTTAAATGCCAGCTGTGATTGGCTCGTGTGGCAGCCTCGGGAACTTATTTTTGAGCCAAAAGCTCTGGCATTACCTTTCTTGTTCAAAGCATCCATCAAGCCAGCCATTTCCTCCGCCTGGGAGCTTTGATTCAGCCCTTCGCTAATAAAACTACCACAATGGCGCTCCAAAGGACAGTGACAAGGATTCCTAGTGGCGGACTGCGGAGTGTCTCCTCGTGCCTGCGTGCATCAACTCCAATCTGCTCATACAATGGAAGCTCCCGCAGTATGGCGAGCGTAGTGCCACCTGTCACTCAGAATGCAGCAGGGTCAAAGGGGCCTACTGCCATGGTTTTTCTAAACATGGGTGGGCCTTCCACCACGGATGAGGTCGGCGATTTCTTGAGCAGACTATTTGTAAGTAAAGCCCAGGTATGGGCTCAGCCGGTGAAGACCTTCTGCAAAAGCTAACCTGGTCTAGGCGGATGGTGATTTGATACCCCTCGGACGACTGCAGTCTTACCTTGGGCCCCTCATATCTCGACGCCGGACTCCAAAAATTCAGAAACAGTACGCCGACATTGGGGGTGGCTCTCCGATTCGAAAGTGGTCGGAGTACCAGTGCTCCGAAATGTGCAAAATATTAGATAAGATATCGCCAGAAACCGCGCCACATAAACCGTATGTGGCATTCAGATATGCTGCTCCATTGACGGAGGAGATGTATTCACAGCTCCTGAAAGATGGGTTCGGAGGAGGTAAAGGCGGGCGAGCTGTTGCCTTTACGCAGTATCCCCAGTACTCTTGTTCGACTACAGGAAGCTCACTCAACGACTTATGGAGATGGAAAAATAAACTAGAGGGAAGGAGTGGTGCCGAACAAGCAGAAGATGCTAGTGGAAACATCCAATGGAGCGTTATCGACAGGTGGCCGACACACCCAGGGTTGATCGAGGCGTTTGCCCAAAATATTGAAGCTCAACTTGCAACATACCCCGAGGATAGGCGTGACAACGTTGTTCTTCTCTTCTCAGCCCATAGTCTACCAATGAGTGTGGTTAATCGAGGTATGAATTTTACCCTTCTCCTTGTAACCCTAGCCTAACTAACTCTTAATTTCTAGGTGACCCGTACCCTGCTGAAGTGGCCGCTACAGTAAATGCGATTATGCAAAGATTAAAATTCTCTAACCCTTACCGCCTCTGCTGGCAATCTCAAGTCGGCCCCCATGCCTGGCTGGGGGCCCAAACCAGCGATACAGTTCAAAACTATGTTAGTCGCGGACAGACTGATCTTCTCCTTATCCCTGTCGCATTTACGAGTGACCATATAGAAACCCTCTATGAGCTAGACAAAGAGGTTATTCATGAGGCAAACAACCCCGGCGTCAAACGAGTTGAAAGTCTTAACGGAAACCCCATCTTCATTCAAGGTTTAGCCGACCTCGCGGCTGATCACCTGCGAAGTGGCGCGAAGTGCTCACACCAGATGACACTTCGATGTCAAAACTGTACGAGCGAGAGGTGCTTGGAGCAGAAGAAGTTCTTTGCCGGCCCAGAGGGTCGCGATCTCGTTCGATGAATTATCTAGCCACGACCTTCCCATCCCATCTGTATATTATCATCTCCCGCCCGGCGATTGCCATCTAGATAATGATTTATTACCAAAACCACAAGAAGAGTGGGAACGGTCAAACATATGGTACTCTTAAAAGATGCATTACCGTAGTTTGATGGTGCAGGGGCAGCTATACATAACAAAAACAGATGACGCAACCGCACCGTAACTCGTAACTCTACGTTTCATCGTCCCAACTACCCGTTCAAGACCGGGACAATTTCTCACAGCTTACTATCCATCACAGCATTTCAGCAGCCAACATAGGCGTTATTCGAAGCCAACTATTAAGCTAACAAAGGATTCGCTTCCACCATCCTATCACCAAACGAGATGACTAATTTTTACGGACATGTTTCGAGCGGGACCGGACGAAAAGATCTGGGAGGAATAATGTATAGGAATAAGCCCGGTTGCCCAAGGATAGTTCCTACATTCTCCAGGTTTTGGCTCGAATGCCAACGGTTTCACCATAATAATGCTGCGATACTGTTCCTTCATATTCCCATGTTAAATCCCCCCCATCGATAGTGTATGTCGACGAGGTTCTGTCTTTCGCTCTTGTCCATGAACCACGCCTTAGCTCCATACCAAACCGAATCTCGGCTTCATGGCTATCTCAAAACCAGTCAGTTCTGGCGTCGAAGTTGGGCCTGAAGATACTACGGGTGACGATATGACTGCAGGGAGACGGACTCCCTTTGAATTTACGTCGGAATCACAACTGGGGGTAGAGATATCGGATGAGAGAACGACATTACTATCCAGTGGCCCAGATGAAGTTGAGGCAGATGATTTCTCTTCCTTACCCTGGTGGAAACGGCCTTCCGTAAGAGTCCTTGGATAAGGCTCATTCTTTATTGTATCCATGCTAATAATGAATTAATCAGGTTCTATGGCTGCTGCCTCCGCTTCTTCCGTTTACCCTTGCCTTTGGAGGAGTCGCAGTCCCAAAGATCAACCTCATGCTCACGCTGATTTGCCGGGAATATTTTTCTGATCGTGCGGCGAAAGACTCTACGTTCACCTATACTCCGGTAATATTTGGAACGGAAAACCCACAATGCCGGACGCCAGAGGTACATGCACTGGTCTCTAGGCTCCAACTCGTGATGAACCTCATCGCTGGTATCCTCTCGGCAGTGGTAAGCCCGAAATTAGGTGTGTTATCTGACGGGTATGGCAGGACGAAAATTATTGGATTATGCACCCTAGGCACAGCCCTTGGTGAAGCAGTCACTGCACTTGTCGCAACATTCCCTAATTCCTTCTCCGTGAACTTCCTCCTTCTAGGAGCTGTTTTTGACGGAATGTTTGGATCCATCACCGCAGCCGTGGCATTGACGCAATCTTATGCTGCGGATTGTACGCCTGCTAATAAACGAAATGTTTCCTTCGGGTATTTCCATGGTGTCTTGTTCATCGGCATTGCGCTTGGCCCACTTGCTGCTAGCTACCTTATCAAAATGACCGGAGACGTTCGAATCGTATTCTACGCCGTTGTAGCTTGCCAGATCATAATGCCTATATTCATCTCCTTCATCGCCCCAGAGTCACTGACGAAAGAGCGCCAAAGGCGTAATCGAGAGAAGAGGGACATAAAGCCTCTGGATATTAATAAATTTTGCCTGCAAGACTTCAACCCTCTCAACCTATTAAAACCTCTAGCCGTCCTTTTCCCGCTTACTGACAAGTCCATCACTAAAACTACGGCCGGGAAAGCACGTTTGAAGTTGCTTCAACGAAATTTGATCATTTTGGCGGCAATTGACACGGCCTTATTTGGAGTTACGATGGGTACAATGAGCACCCTCATACTATATGTTGAATATATGTTTGGGTGGGGTAATATTGAGTCCAGCTTATTCGTCTCAGTGGGAAGCACAGTCAGGGTTATCGTCTTGCTGGGTGTCCTACCTCTTCTTACTCGATGGGTCCGGAACCGACGCTACATTAACATGAGCGAGTCTCATACGAACTCTGGATCAGACAAGTTGGATATTGGAATTATCAGAGTCTCTATCCTATTTGAATTTTTGGGGTATACGGGATATTGTTTTGTCAAGACCGGCCCACTCATGATGCTTTGTGGCGCTCTCAATGCTATGAGTGCAATGGCATCTCCAACCATCAATTCAACCTTGACAAAACATTTACCGCCAGATAGAACAGGTCAGCTTCTTGGTGCCGTGGGCTTACTGCATGCTTTAGCTCGCGTTATAGCACCCACTATACTCGGTTTAGTTTATAGCTGGACAGTTGGGAAAATGACGCAGGCCGTCTGGGTACTTTTAGCAAGTTTACTCTTTCTCAGCTTCATTTCTTGTTGGTTTATCTTGCCACATGGTAAGTGAATTCCCATTGTTTTTCCATACAATGCCGTCTTCGCTCGACTAACTCTACCATTCCCTTGCAGTATATCTCCCTGAATCATTGGTTGAAGATTCAACAGGCCCGAGAAACGCTCATTCCTCTACACAGCATGAAGAAAGAATATAAATACGTGCGAACAATGTTTAATTGGCATAATTAGAGTTAGTATCCGTTTTTGCTATCTACCTCCGTTCAGCTATTACCCAGTACCTAGAGTCGCCATGTTCCCAAGGTTATCAGATCCTACTAGAATATATCTCCTAGCTTAATACTGTATTATCACATTTTAACAGGGTGGCAAGCCATTTAAGTATTTGTCATTATGAGCGTCCAAAGTATCCGTATAGGTGATGGGTGAGCATTATGTTCAGATCTGAATAAAATATTACTACCCTCTTACCAGCTATTGAAAGTAAATAGCCATTAGGAATTGTTATAGAGTTACTACCAATAAATATGATTGCCTACGAATTAACCAATCAATGAGAAGTATAAGCCTATCATGCCATGCTAGACAGTGGCCTGTCAAATCTATTACATAAGCAAGCAGAAATGGGAAAAAGTGAACTTTTGGGAGGAACTTCGCTTTCAACTCAACGACACCAACTACGCACCCGAACCCGACTCACATCCGCATATAATACGATTCCCATAGAAATGGGACGTTTATAGATACTATCAATTGCATTGGGCCCATCTGGGTGGCCCCGTACATACTCGCATCCACATCACCGCGTACAAATATGTATCGCCCGTCAACCAGAAATATAGTCCCCTCGCGATCAGCTTTACGGGTTTTGCGACGACTAGCCTTAGCAGGCTCTACAGCTAGTGTCATTGGAAGTATATGCACTGTTGCCACAATTACCTACGAAGTGAACCGGAGAGTCAGCCTAGCAGAAAACCTGGTCAAGCAAAAACGAACCCTCGAGTCGTCATGTCCGAATTACAGCACATTGGGGCGAGGGATAGCAGTGGAGAGGATGATGGAGGCCGCAGAAGCTGGGGAATTTTTAGGCTTAGATTCAATGAAGAAGAAACCAGCTCCTGTTGATGACCGGAGTCGGACCCGAGATATTGCAGGAGCAAAAATTCCCTACGAAAGCCGCGAAAATATTGTCCCATCAGAATCTTCGATTGCTAAAGACAGATTGGAGGCTTCAAAAACTATGGTGACGAATAAGGGCCCCTTAGCAAATCCTCGTTCGAATCCACTAGACCTGAGTGCTCGATACTCTCACCCTCGTGCCATGATGAAACTTGCCGGCTCCTCTTTGAATATTGCACCGTCTACTCAGTATCAAAAATGGAAATCGAGAATTGAAAAGCACCTAGAGCAGGGTCAACCGATTGAGGCGGCTCATCATTTCTTACGCCCACCCGGAGATTTTGTCGAGGAAAACCTGGAAGCCCTGAAGGAGCTTTCTTCCAGGATATTTAATGAAAATCTGAAAGCTGGTAATACATCTCTAGCGGGTGGTATTTTCCGGTGGGATGAAAGAAACGGCCAAGTGACTTCAAGTTCATGGGAATCACTAATTTTGGCTCAAGGGTCAAGATGGAGTGCCGATACCCTTGCATCACTCTATTTGCGCCATGCTGACCGTTTCGAGCTATCATATGAACTTCGAGGGATAGTCTTACGATCACTAGTGGATTCATATAGGCTGGGAGAGGCCAAGAATTTTGTTTTCAGATACCTAAAAGATGACAAAAGCTGCGGGCTGAGCGCAATTTACCTGGGTGGTTTGTATGCGAAAAGCCGTAATATGGAACTAGTTGAGACCCAGGCTGGAAAGTTGGCGAGCTCCCTCCTGGGCCTCGAAATACTTCCGACAGAGCGATTATTCAATCCTCTTTTAAAGGCATATATCGAGTCCGGATATGACGAGAAGGCCCAGGCTTTGATTGAAGAAATGAAGTCTATTTATGGTATTAGTATCGGGCTTAGACCATTGGGTTTACTTGCATATGGAAAGGCACTAAAGAGCGATTGGCAAGGTGTCGAACAATGCCTCCGGCAGATACATGAGTTGGGGTTAGATAGGTCTGGCCGCAAAAACTTCACGAAGGTTTTCGATCGCATATTTCTAGAGTATTTCCTTGGAAATTCCGGTGAAAGCATCCGAAAATTTATATTCCAAGCGATTGAGGAGTATGATTTAGAAATGGATGATGTCCTTTTCGAGCATATCCTTATTGCGTTTATCCAGAAGGGAAACATGGAAATGGTTGACGAGTTTTTGCAGGTTGCAAAAGCCAAATCATGGAATGTGACATCCAATAAAGAACATTTCATTCATCTGTTGAGGAACCACAGAATGACTTGCGAGAAGAGTGCCGTAGGTTTGTGGCGGATGTTCCGTTCATCACAGGAGAAAAATGGCCGAGCTGGGGCTTCTCTAAGGATGCTCGGCTTTGACAGGGACTCTTTCCCGCTTGAGGAGGCATACAAACTCCCTTGGACTGGAGGACGAACAGCTTGGTCGGATAAAATCAAGTCTGCGCCGATGAGCGGACGAGATGTGGATAAATTTGTCGCTCTCCGTAAGAGAATGATCCATAGCATTAACGCTGGACGAATGAATGAAGCTCTTGAGCTTTTTACCACAGCTAAGGCGTCAGGAAAGTTTATGAAGCAAATTCATGTTGAATTAGCTCTTGTCGCCAGTCTCATGCAAAAAGGGTGTGCAAATGAGGCTCAGAAAATTCTTGAAGGAGCAAAAACATCATTCCCGGAATTCGACAAGACAAAGTTGGGGCATTTCTACAAGCAAATATTCGAGGTCAGATCCAGGGAGAAGGCATTAAAGATGGCAGTTTTCCTTTTTTATAGGGTCCTTGAAGACAATATGCTTCCAATCAAACACCATATGACCGTCAGCGCTAGTGCGATGCTGATTAAACAGGGGAAACCTGGAGCTGCCCTTAGGTTATTCCGCGCAGTCAATAAGGGAAAATACGGTGCTTCATCGCCATTTGATGCTATTGCTGTGAAGATGATTGCTAGGGCAGCGGCCGCAAGTGGGAGTCGCAGAGGGCTCCGATGGGCTATTTTAACGGCAATGAGCCGAAGCTCCGCGCTACACAGAGATCTAGTCGTTGAATTACAACGGCTAGTTGAGCACCTCAAGTATGTGCTTGAACAACATTCTAATACCTCGGCACCGAATGCGGCAGATGATACGCTCCATAATGAGCTCGAATACCTCGACTACTTGGTGAAACTCCTTGATCAGAAAGAAGCTGTACAAAGTGGCCGTGCCGATGCCGTTGTCGCTCAAGAGACAGCGAAGAAAGACCCAGGGCAAATGCCTGTTACTGATCACGATACACCCATCCGCCCCCAAGACCTAACATTGCGAGCTAATGGTCTGGTCCAGACGCTTGAAAACTGGTGCGAAAGGTCCGAATTTGAATTGGCATCTGGAAAGGAGAGGAAAGGTCCTATCGAAATGGACGGGTTTATCGGCTCTAGAGGGACCGCGAACACGTTAGAACCAGAGCTACAGCTCGGACATGGTTGATTTCATTTATATAGCATGTCTTTTGTATATTATTAGGCATTGACAGGCACCCCTCTGTCGCCATTCAATGTAGGCCGTTGACCGTCTCTACTGCAACCATCTAATGTTAATATTCTGCCTAAAACAGTGTTGTATACAAATATATTCTAGTAATATATGCGTTACATCTGTATTCCCCTGCTAATGGGGCTGTATAAATATTCCGATGCCCCTATTATGCTTTAAAAAGAAGAAATCATGCCATAAACCAACATTTTTCACATGTCTTTTTTTTCTTTGGTGGCGTGAGGTACCTTTGCATGCCAAGACCCACCCCTGGGCGTGGGAAAGCAAATAAATTGCTCTACATTTCAAAGACTCAGTTAAATCATTAGCAGACTCCCTTTCGCAAGCAGATGATGCAGTGATACTACCAGTGCTACGGCTCAGTCCTCTATTCTTCCCTGATTACCCATAGCAATGGTTGCAGAAATTCCTCCAGAGTATAAGAACGGGTTCGCCAACGGCCCACCGAAGCCAAAGACATACCGCAACGAGGCCGAGCGACGACGATATGAACACCACGAAGCCGATGTTGTTATAATTGGTGGGGGAGTTGCGGGGTGTACATTAGCAGTTGCGCTGGGGAACCAGGGACGAAGCGTTATCCTCCTTGAGAAGTCGTGGAAGGAACCCGATCGCATAGTGGGAGAGCTGCTTCAACCCGGAGGCGTTAGAGCTCTCGAGGAACTTGGATTGAGAGATTGCCTGGAAGGGATAGATGCTGTGAGGACGTATGGATATGATGTGATATACTTTGGCACTGGAGTGAAAATCCCTTTTCCCAATGATGCCAATCAGAAGACGCTCGAAGGCAGATGTTTTCACCACGGCCGTTTAATCGTGCGCCTTAGAGAGGCCGCTGCTGCGAATCCGAATGTCACTGTTGTTGAGACGAAAGGCTGTCTCGACTATAAATCAACCCATACGGGAGACGTCCTCGGAGTCCAATGTGTCACTGATGGAAAACAAGACTTCTACTTTGCCCCGTTGACCGTTGTGGCGGATGGATATGCGTCCACCTTCAGGAAGGAATTCCTTCCTATAGCGCCAGTCGCGAAATCAAAATTCTGGGGCCTTGAGCTTATCGATGCAAAATTACCAATGCCGGGATTTGGCCATGTTGTCCTGGGAGATTTCCCGCCCATACTTATATACCAGATAGGAGAACATGAGACCCGGATTTTAATTGACATACCGGACAATCTACCTTCAGCATCAGTTGCAAATGGGGGTGTCAAGGGGCACATGCGAAATGTCGTACTTCCCTCCTTACCCGAGTGTATACGGCCCTCCTTTGAAGCCGCACTGGAGAAGGGTGGATTCCGATCCATGCCAAATTCTTTCCTCAGACCCGTCACGAACAAGATTCCTGGATTGATGTTCCTGGGAGATTCCCTGAATATGCGCCACCCATTAACGGGAGGGGGTATGACCGTGGCGTTCAATGATGTCGTTCTCCTTCGGGACCTTCTCAGTGTGGAAGCGGTCCCCGATTTCAGCAACACAAAACTCGTCTTAAAACAATTATCCAAGTTCCATTGGCAAAGGAAGTCATTAACTTCAGTTATTAATATTCTTGCTCAAGCTTTATACTCTATATTTGCTGCCGGTGGTCAGTATAACTCCCAGTGTCCTTCCTCCGTCTGTGCGGTTGATCGTTTTTACTGATATCATACCTCTTAGATCCTAACTTGAAAGTCCTACAACGGGGCTGTTTCCGGTATTTCCAGCTCGGACTTATTGACGGGCCAGTCGGACTGCTGTCGGGCGTAATCAGGTCGCCGATGGTGTTATTCCGACATTTTTATTCTGTTGCCTTCCTGGCTATCTGGCTACACCTAACTAGCCAGCCCATCTACCTCCTTCCCTTGACTCTAATCCAGTGCATAATAGTATTCTTGACTGCCTGCAAGGTTATACTTCCATTCATAATTTCTGAACTTCTAATCTAGGTTAGACAAACAACCTCCGGCACATATTCAAAACGTTTTAAGGATGCGAATAGGGATTCCATGAATGCTTCTTTTTTCGTCTATGTTTGCATGGTTTTGTGTTAGGACTAGACCCTCATGCTCTGTATATTATTAACGTCTCCTTCTTTTCCCTGAACTTTATCATAATCATATATTAATTAATAAACGCCGTTGCATAGAAGATTCTCATCAGCGTGTAAAATAATCATTCTATATAAAGATCAAGAGCCTCACCCCGTGACCTACAATTTCGGATATTTGTTTTCCCGCAGCCGCACCCAATATGCTCGGGCCTCTCCCAACTATGACCTTTTTAAAACAGCTACATCAACATCGTCTTGTAAAGATGTACCATCTAACCATCTATGCTGCTTCCTTGTCTAGACATATTTGACCCTGGTGCTGCTGTAGCATCAGCGATATCCATACAAAATAGTGAGGCCGCTGATATGGTCGTGCAATATTTTAAGGAGATATGCATTCCAGCCATTTCTGATCTCCGGCATCCATTCCATAATAGGGATTCTTCCGCGAAGGCTTGACATTCTATTTTCCGGCATTCGTATATCTTCGTTGGGGAACCAATATACTGACACCTACCTTATGCCGGCTGTGGTTTGCTACATGTTTTGCCAGTCCCATTAATGGTACAGCGTAAAGTTTGCCATATGCGATCGACTCAACTTGATATACCGGGTCCTTCCATGGTTCAATAGCTCCTTACTTCTTAAGGATATCTACAGATAGCGCGGCTATCCCTTACTTTAGTTCTTCACTTGTGCTCTTCTCTACCATTCACTCTAAGCTATTCACAACCGGCATATCTTGGCCTAAAGTTACTTAACTTATTCCACTAGGACCTTGCTTTATCTTCCTATTATTTCCCTATACAGTATTTCGGTATCATGGCTACGCTAGATCGACCTCCTCATCCTACCCCTGCCCCAAAGAAATATCACCCAAGCGCAGAGGTTGCTTACGCTGGTCCTGCACGTAATATACCCTGTCTATACCCCAAAGATATACCTAAGTTTCACACAAAAGTGTGTGAGGAGAGCTGAAGGCTCTTCTGAGAATGAGGCTAGCGGGACTGCTTTCATAGTAAGCAATAATGAGGTATAGAATGAATATTTTCGCAGTGGTGGCTCTTATTTAGTGAGGTTGTCTACACGTAGCGACCATCTCGCTTAGAAAAACCCGCATAGGTCGATCAACTCGAAGAGCCGGTCCCAGCATCATCTGGCGTTACGGTACCAACAACGTTAGCGTGCAACTGATTCGTCGATCATCCGCGGACTTACCCTATAGACGCGACACACGGGTCTAGAAAGCATGACGTTATGAGCGATACTTGGTACAAAGCATACAAAGAAATACTGAAGCTCTTCCAAAAGATTTGCGCAGTTAAATATAGAGATCATCAATACGCAAGCTGATCCTTGGCCACTACTAACCTATCCAGTGGTACAAAACAGCCTCTTTGTTAAATCTTGGAACATCTTACGGCCTATCGTCCAAGCTATTCTTGGGGAAACTGATTGGGCCCTAGTATATGTTATTCGCCGGATGGAGGAGCATTGCGATAGAGATCCAATAACTATTACTATCACCGTTGCTGAAGATTCCACCAAAGAATGGACTTACGGACCGGTTGGGAAACAATACTCTCTCGAGTACCATGACCTACATATATTCAGAGACAAGATTGGGCAGCTACTGGATAGTCGTAGTATAGCAAAATTGTCGTCAATATATGCCGCGGCAACATCTGGCACACCTATAAAGAGTTAAGCTAAGTTCATGAGACTGGAATGCTAGGCGAAGGCTGGAGGGAACCTTGGCCCTCGGGAATCTATAGAGCCCGCAGCAACACTTAGAGAGTTTATTAATCTCCTGCAGGAGGCCTCAGGATCCTGGGAGAGATTCGGTATAACGAACATCCTTTGCGTTGTTGCAGAAGTTGGATTTCACTCTTTGTATAACGGATATTCGCAAACCAAGGGTAGTGAGCTTGAAATAGCCGTTCTTGAGACTACTTCTTTTGGAGAATCAGCAGTGTCTTGCCCTGCTTATACTGCTTCTTGGCCCAGGGTTAATCCACAAGAACGCCCACACTGGGTCTTAGTGGACATTGCTGACCATCTTATCACAGAAATAAGGTATGTCCACTTGGTCTCTTGAATATATAGGTTGCATGTCTTCTGGATGAGCACTAACGCTAGTATTAGATCCCAAGTATAGATAGTGTTGACCTAAATTATAAGGCCTCATATATCCCCCCAGGACCAGTTATGACTGGCACAGCAACAATAGCTGATGGTGAGCGCCTGCTCAGGATGAATAGGGAACTGGGCTTACTGGAAGTACTGTAAATGAGATCAAGTTTGCTGATATGCAAACCCGGGTGACAGACGCTCTAGGGCTACAAGAATATGTTGGGAAACCGCACCGATAGCAATACATCATGGAAATGCAAATCGTTCGGCGACCTAAGAGACTCAGGAAGTTTTATAATAGGCAGGAAGGGGCAATTCGTCGGGCTCTATGTTGGAGACGATAGAAATTGCGGACTCATTATCGAAAGCCTCTTTGAGGATATCAAAAGGGTCACGAAATGCCACGATGTTTGGATATGAAGATAATATATTACAAAAAGATATCTAAAACGTCCACTTTTGAATATCTTTTATTTTTTTTAATTATTTTTTCTCAAAAATTTTAAACTACTTCTATTCCCACATCCCTAACCCATTCCACCAAAAAACATAGAAAACAGCAGAAATCTTACAGCTCCGTTCAATGATCCAATCATGAAGAGAACAGCAAACCAGATAATGATAACAGAAAATAGACAATAGACAATAGACAAAAGCATGTGCAGGGCCCTCTGCATCTATAAGGGTAGTAGAAACATAAAAGCAAATCCACAAGAACACAACGGGCTAAAGGGGTAACAGAACAGAAGAATATTGCTGGGGGTATTAAATGAACAACATGAAAAAAAGGACCCATCCAATTTTGGGACAAGAAGGGGAAGAGAAAGAAGAAATAGGGTAGCTAGTACTATCAATCAGACAGCGCATTGAGACAGGCACGGTGCATTAATGCCGTAGACAAATGGGAATTGGGGGGAAAAAGGGGAAAGGCAAGGAAAAATTGCAACCACAATTCGTCACTAACATGCTGAGTTCTTTTATTCCCATGTAATAAAAAAAGGAAAAAGTTTTCGCTCCTATAGAAAGGTGAACCACCAGCTTAGGGGGAAAAAGGATTCACCTCTGTGGCATACACATACATGCTGCTAACCAAAACAATTCACGCCAGTTGAATAAAACCAGACCTTCTCAAGATAATAAACGGATCGTTCGCGTCTTTCAATCTTGAATCTTGTGAAATATGTACTTTTTTGATGGTATGATGTTCGGTCGACAAGTAGTAAGTGGGTCATCTCAAGGCATGTCGTTGTGCGTTTGTAGTGTAGTCATCGTAGTCGTGAATTCCCATTGGCCGGGCTCTGACAACCCGAAACTCCGTGACCAAACATCATACCTATATCCCGGAATAAATACCCGAAATATATGTTTTCTCTTAAAGACAAACCCCATCCATAGCTGTATTCTCATCCTCCTTTCCTCAGCGACTCGTCGGCAGGAAGGGGTTCCGCTCCAGTTACAATTTTATTTGTGCCTTTCTTATTCTTCTTCTTCGCTGTCGTCGTCTGCCAGCCACTACTGGAACTAGTGGTGTTCTCATGCCCCACACCGTTAGAGATTGGTTTCGCGGCAGCATGCATACCATTTGGTTTCTGACCTTCCCTGTTCTCGATGGTATTGGAGACGGCCATAGAGGGTATACCGCTAACAGAATGCCATTTCGGCTTCTGTTTCTGTGACACGCTGTTCGCATGGTGTTCCGAGTCAGCGCCATTACCACGGCGTTTTACCGTAGGAGATGTGACGCGGGCCTCTTTTGCTGGAGAGCCCTTTGCCACAGTGGCGGTTTTCTGCGTTTGTGCCGGGGTATGGTGTGCACCGTTTCCGTTTCCATTGGTAAGATTATAATCATGATTACTGATACCATTCTCTTTCACGAGATGGATCGAGTCAACATGGGGCGGGTAAACTGGTTCAGAAAGCTGAAATCGCTGCAATTGCTCTGAAAGCGTTTCTGATCTACCGATATGGCCATTCATGACTGGTTTATTGCTAGCTCGAATGTTTTGCGCCCACCCGTTCATTTGTGGGAGGTGTTGTTGGATCTCCTGGTGTGGCGTATTGAAAACAAATTCAGCTTCGTCATAAACCAATTGGTCAGATGGCGATGGTTCATTGGACCCATTCGTAGGAGTATCTTGTCGAGATGTTCGTTGACTGTGGGTAGAAGAATGTTGAGGAGTAAAAAACTGTTCACTGTGGTCATCTTGGGCAGCGGACTGTCTTCGGTAGTCGTTCGCCGGAAGGGAGCCATCAATAATCAATGGACCATGATCCGAAATATTTTTGGGTCGCGTAGTCTGTTGATATTGTTGTGGCTGGGGCTGTCGGCTGTGGTTATTCATGTTTTCTAATTGTTCTAGGGGTATATTTGACTGCTCAAGATTCGGCATTGGGACAGGTCGGAACTCAGGAGGGGCATAAAATATATTACACAATCCACCGTTGCGGATCGCAAGTCCAGAATGGCCTGGGTACGATGCTGCCATGGATCGACGACTATAAGTACCCTGGGTCTGAGGTGAGTCCCCGCCGACATAGTAATGTAGGTACTCTGGCGAGGCACCAGTTTCATCAACCGGGCCCGTTTTCAGGAAAAATGGGCCGGTGCTAGAGAAGCCATAGTCCTTTTCTGTTGGGGTCCGCTGGGGTGAGTCCGGTGACTGGCGAGCATTCTGAACGTATGCTACTTCGGGTTGTCCCATAGCAGACGCATAGAATGTGCTGAAATTGTTCGGTACGCAAGACGATATTGGCCGGGCAGGCTGGGACTGAGCTCTCAGACTGCTTCGTGGTGAGTTATTGGCGATTGACGAGCGACGATGATTTCGACGGCTGTCTGGTGTGACGTTGGAAGGTGATGGAGATGGAGGATTTGTTGTATTCGATGGAGGAGCTTGTGGTGCGGTAACATTTACAGGAGCAACAAAGGAAGGGTTAAAAAATACATTCTGCCGAACGGGGGCCGTGAAGGGGCCTTGATTGTGCACGTTTGCTCGACTTTGGGAGTTTTCGTCGGGCGAGAA